AGTGAGGATTAGGCCTCCCTTTGTTCTCACTGGATAATTGGGACTGACCTATATGATTTCAGGGAAGCAAACTTCCCTCTCTATGGCTCAGTTTTCTCTCTCTAAAATGGGCAGGGAAGAGTGGAACCAGACAAGTTTTAAAGTCACTTCTCAGGCCAAGGATCCATGACTCTGATTTTTAAAAAATTTAATTCCAAAAAATAAATGTGGCCCAGCCGGTGTGGCTCAGTGGTTGAGCATCGACCTATGAACCAGGAGGTCACAGTTCAATTCCTGATCAGGGCACAGGGCTGGGTTTTGGGCTCGATCCCCAGTGGGGGGCATGCAGGAGGCAGCCCATCAATGATACTCTCTCATCACTGATGTTTCTATCTCTCTTTTCCTCTCCCTTCCTCTCTGAAATCAATATAAATATATTTAAAAATAAATAAGCCGAAGCTATCAACATTAATACCCTCCCTCCAGCAGACTATGGTTTTCCTAACACTCTAACCTTGTGATCTTCCAAGAGATCTTACCCCAAAAGATCCACGAGAGTGTTGGGAATCTGGCTTAGCAACTTCTCTCCTTCCACCTCTCCCTGCCCCCACCCACCATGCCCTCCAGCTCACCCTCACCTGAGCACTTCTCAAGGCTTGGATGTTCAGATCGCAGGCATTTGAATGTAATGTTTACTGTTCTGAGTCCTGCCCCATCCACTTCAGGGCACCATGGAGGACTTCTGACTCACGTGTACTCTTCCCATGAATTTTTGAACATTTGTCCTGAGTGCCAGACTCCACCACGGGCATCTGGGCTACGAAGGATAATAACACGGCCCAGCTCTCAGGAAGTCAGTCCTCAATTAGGGGTCATGTCAATTTACCTGATGGCGGTTAGCCTGAGTCACCTGGGAGAGAACACCAAAGGGGGGCCTGCTTCGGCAAAAATCTTTTTTTTATATACATACATCTATTTTTTAATTGAATTTTAGAGAGAGAGGAAGGGAGAGGGAGAGAGAGAAACATCAATGTGAGGAACATCCATAAACTGCTTCTGAAACCCAGGCATGTGCCCTAACTGGGAATCAAACCAGCAACCTTTCAGTGCACAGGTCAACGTCCAACCAACTGAGCCACACCTGCCAGGGCTTGGGCAAAATCTTGAAGGATGCTAAACAGATGCTCTTGGTGCCCGTCCCCTTAGACCAGTGGTTCTCAACCTGTGGGTCGCGACCCCTGTGGCGGTAGAACGACCCTTTCACAGGGGTCGCCTAAGACCATCCTGCATATCAGATATTTACATTACGATTCATAACAGTAGCAACATTACAGTTATGAAGTAGCAACGAAAATAATTTTATGGTTGGGTCACAACATGAGTAACTGTATTTAAAGGGCCAGACGGTTGAGAACCACTGCCTTAGACCCCCCTGGAGTAGCTTGATCCATGCTCAGAGCAAGCCAGGGAGTTAAAGCCACAGGACGGCAGGCCAACGAGAAGCAGAAGCTGGTGGGTAAATACACCCACTTCCTTGCTGCTTGATGAAACCAGCCTCAGGTGCGCTGCGCAGCTTCTCAGAGGGTCCCCGCAGGATTGGGCGCCTGCTCATTAACACACCTGCAATGCCTTCCCTCCCTTCTCTCCACAATTCTTGGGATCTAAATCATTGGGAAAGGTTTTCTCTTGGGCTTAAGGGGAATATTACAGTGTGAAATGTTGAAGTCTATGGAAGGCAATGTAAAAGCAGTGATTAAGCAGACTAACTACAAACTAACTGGTCAGCCTCTGTGAGCCTCAGTTTCGTTATCTGTAGCATGGGAATAATAGTCAGAACCTGTAAGGGATCAATATGATAATGCTTATGTGTTAGGCTCTGAGTAGTAAGTACTCAATTTAAAAAGGGGGATGGCCCTAGCCCAGTGATGGCGAACATATGACATGCGTGTCAGAGGTGACACGTGAACTCATTTTTTTGGTTGATTTTTTTTGTTATATGGCATTTAAATATATAAAATAAATATCAAAAATATGTCTTTGTTTTACTATGGTTGCAAATATCAAAAAAATTCTATATGAGACACGGCACCAGAGTTAAGTTAGGGTTTTTCAAAATGCTGACACGCCGAGCTCAAAAGATTCGCCAGCACTGCCCTAGCTGGTTTGACTCGGTGGATAAAGCCTTGCCTTGCAGACTGAAGGGTCCCGGATTCAATTCAGGTCAAGGGCACGTACCTCAGTTGCAGGTTTCCTGGCCTGGTAAGGGTGTGTGCAGGAGGCAACTAGTAGGTGTGTCTCTCTCATATCGATGTTTCTCTTTCTCCATCTCTCCCTCTCCCTTCCACTCTCTCTAAAAATCAATGGAAAAAAGAGTGAGGATAGATAGATAGATAGATAGATAGATGATAGATTAAATAAATAGGGGAATGGTGGCGCCACCCTGCCGGATGCTTGGAGGATGAATGGAGAGGAGGGGACTGAGGGGTTCAGCGGAATGCACATCCCAGGGGATCTCCTGTCTTGGCCTTCTCCACCTAAAGCCTTAAAACTATCCTTGCAGCCTCAGTGCCAGCGGGGGCCTTGCTGCTCAGATGCTTGGAAACACGAAATAGACTGAGGAATCTCAGAGGGAGAGGGTTCGTGGGAGGGAAGAGATTAACCAAAGAATTTATATGCATGTATGTCATTCTTCTCAGCTACAGCCCAGTCCACTCAGTCCCCACCAGCTACACTTATTTTTCTGGGAAAAATATGGGACAGACTTAGGTGTGTGTCTCTGGGGAGGGAGCCCCCGGCCCCCCACCTTCCCCAAAGCCTGACCAGTGCTCCTCTTCATGGGAGATCCAGACCAGCCCAGGCCCTTGCCACCATTGGTGAAACAGGCAGCCAGCAGCAGAGACAAGAAGTTGGCTCAGAGGGCCTGGGGCTCTGGGCAAGCGCAGGGCAATGACCCAGGGCCTCTCCAAACCCCTTCCCCTACTGGTGACAGAGGAGCACCCAACATTCCTCCCTGGGTTCCTTTTCTATAGCCCTCTATGGGGATCCACTCACTTCCTCCTCAGGGTCTCTGTGCAAACAGCTGGGTGTGGCTCCCTCTCACTGGGCAGCCCTGCCTGGACCCCCACCCCTGCTGGCCTCAGGTGGCCCAGCGCCAGCTGAGATGAGCTGATGTTTTAAATGACTGCAGGGTGCTCTCTGTGCCCAGTGAACCAGCAAGGGCAGAGGTCAGGGCCTCACCTGAGCCCATCCACTGGCCCACACACTGGTCCCTTCACCTTCCCACCTTTCCCTTGACTTCTCCCTCCCACTTGGCCTCCTGTGTCACCCACGGCACAGAGTTTCTACCTCTGGGGCCTGGGCTCCCTGAGTGGTGACTGTGCTGCCCCAGACGGGGTGTGTACAGGACAGGCCTGGGCCCAATAAAGGAATGCTTCTTTCTTTCCTTTTTTTATTTTTTGATACATTTTATTGAGTTTTTACAGAGAGGAAGGGAGAGGGATAGGGAGTTAGAAACATCGATGAGAGAGAAACATCAACCAGCTGCCTCCTGCACACCCCCCACTGCGGATGTGCCCGCAACCAAGGTACATGCCCTTGACTGGAATCGAATCCAGGACCCTTCAGTCCACAGGCTGACGCTCTATCCACTGAGCCAAACCGGTCAGGGCTGCTTCGTTCTTTTAAAATCTTTATTATTGAAAGTATTACAGATGTCCCCCTCTTCTTTCCCCCCTCCTCTCCCATCCAGTTCCCACCCCAGGCCTTCACCACCCTACTGACTGTGTTCACGGGCAATGCATACATGCATATAAATTCTTTGGTTAATCTCTTCCCTCCCCGAACCCTCTCCCTCTGAGATTCCTCAGTCTATTTCGTGTTTCCAAGCATCTGAGTAGCAAGGCCCCCGCTGGCACTGAGGCTGCAAGGATAGTTTTAAGCAGAGGTCCTCAAACTTTTTAAACAGGGGGCTAGTTCACTGTCCCTCAGACCGTTGGAGGGCTGGACTATAGTTTAAAAAAAAACTATGAACAGATTCCTATGCACACTGCACATATCTTATTTTGAAGTAAAAAAACAAAACGGGAACAAATACAATATTGGTATTTGCATGTGGCCCGCGGGGCCGTAGTTTGAGGACCCCTGGTTTTAAGGCTTTGGGTGGAGAAGGCCAAGACAGGAGATCCCCTGGGAAGTGCAATTACCCATTAACCCCATCCACAGTTCCGAGGTGCCCTGCATTTCCTCAGGGCTGCTCAGATACGAGCTGACAGGACAAAGATCCCTGCAGCTCTGGTCTGAGAGTCTGTGTACACAACTCCGGGATGATTAACCCTGGGCCTGGGGGGCGGGGATGTGCAGATCAAAGGCCCTCAGACAAAATGACCAGTCTCGGAACTCAGGGGGAGCAAGGCATTGTCTGCTCTAAACAAAACTCATGCCATGTCACCAGGGCTTCAGGGAGGCCTGGGGCTCTTGGTGACGGGGATCAGAGGCCCCTGCCATGAGGCAGAAATGTTCTTTCTGCATTTCTATCCTCTGTATCTTTCCCACCTCTTAGGAGAAACAAACCGCCCTGCTGTCACTGAACTGGGTCCCATAGAAAGCAAACTAACTCTTCTTGGAGACGCCTGGATCTGGTTTGAGCCTGCTCCGGCTCCCAGACTCCTCGGAAGACCCCTCTCTGGCCACTTTCCCCGCAGGCCTTCCTATGGACTAGAGTACCTTCCTCCTTTGGGCCACGGGGCTTCCTCTTCATAGCAGCTCACCATTCATCCTCCAAGCATCCCAGGAAGTGGAAACCACCTATCAGGAGGATCAGATTCCTGGGAGGTGACAGGGTCACCTCTGCCTCACTGCCCATCAGCCCTCAGACCTCACCTTGGCAGGGAGAGCTGACTGCCTCTGTTTCTCAGGCCTGGGAAGGCAGTGTAAGGTGAGATGAAGATGGGGGAGGGCCAGGAGGAGGAACCAGGCCAGGAAAGGGGCAGGTCCGGTCCCAGAGTGGGAGGAGAAGACAGGCACTTAGGGTGTTGGCCAAAGACCACAAAGTGAGGAAGGAGAGGCGTGCAGGGAGTGCAGGACCGAGCCATCTCAGGCCCTCTCAGTGCCTGGAGCAGGTAGGGGCAGGGGCAGGGGCAGCTGGGAAATAGGCCTCCCTCTGGAATTCAGAGTTGAGCTGCTATGCAAGTCACTGGCTCCTGGGATCTATAAGACAACAGTGAAGACTACAAAAGGGCAAGTGCCACAGTCCAAAAGGACAGCTTCCGGTGAGTAGGACACCCTGCTGGAGGCAGGGATTATTGGCCTCAGTTTTCGGCTCTTTCTCACTGCTTGGACTCCAACATAGCAAGAGGGAGGTCTGGACCAGGGGTGGGCAAACTTTTTGACTCGAGGGCCACAATGGGTTCTTAAACTGGACCGGAGGGCCAGAACAAAAGCATGGATGGAGTGTTTGTGTGAACTAATATAAATTCAAAGTAAACATCATTACATAAAAGGGTACGGTCTTTTTTTTCAATAGTTTTATTCATTTCAAACGGGCTGGATCCGGCCCGCGGGCCGTAGTTTGCCCACGGCTGGTCTAGACGGTTGCCTAGAGACCTAGTGGTCAGCAGAGTAGCTGGGGCAGGAACACGCAGCTACAGAAATGGGGGAATATCAAGGAGTGACGTCAAGGCCAAGGCTTGATTGGAAGTAGCTTTGCTTGATGTACCCCCTACCTGATCTCCCAGTTGCCCTGTGCAATCCTGGGTACCCCAGAAACTCCACAGTTGGTGGCTCTCCGCCATCCCCCCGGGGAACAGCTGACCTTAGGAGCCTGGGCTTTTGTGCGGACCAAGGAGGGACCAGGAAAGGCTTGATTCAGGTTCCGAGTATCGCAGCTGTCTGGGGGCTCCTTGCTTCCCTGAGGGCAACCCTGAGGGCCCTCCCAAGAAAGACACCCTAAAACTTATTTTAAAATGTGACCTGCAAACCGGGTCACATGCAAAGCAGGACTCACCTCTGAGGCTGGGCAGATCTAAGGGGAAAATGGGTGCAGCTGAGTTCTGTTGAGACTGACAAAATCTTCCTCAAGTCCCATGCTCATCATTAATAGGCATTTTTATAGCAGCGTCTGTGCACCTGGGGTGTTTACAGCGATACAGGGCAAGTTCCCTTCCTTCCGGAAGCCCATGGGATGGGGTTATGGGGTTCCTGGGGGGTTCAGGCCCAGATGAGGCGGATAAGGGAGGCCTTCTGCAGGAGGTCCCTGTGGGTGAGCATCCACAGAATAAGAGGGGATTAGAGGGAAGAGCATGGCTGGGAGAAGGAAGAGCAGGAGGTGCCACGGTGCACCTGGGGGAGATGACAGGGGCAAAGTCACCGCACCCCTAGTAATGCTAGGGACCGCCCAGGACTTGTGCTCCTCCTCCAAGCTCGGGGCTCATTTACCTTTCTTTCGGGGTGTTACTTCTGGATTTAACGCGCTGTCACGTTATTCTCTCCCCAGCCACGCACCATGTGGTTGGCCGTGCTGCTGCTGCTGCCCACAGCGCTGCGCCTGAGCCTGGCAGAGCTGACCCAGGAGAGGGTCCCTCTTTTCCGACTCATTCAGCTGGGCCCCTGGGGAAGCGGGGCCAACGACACCACGGGCTCGCCCTGCCTGGGGCTCTTCGCCACGGGGGCCACGACCTTGAATCT